GGATTGATGATGGCAAAGATCAATTTCTTTGGCAAAGTTTGTCCTACTAATAATGTGTAACTGCAGGTTGGCAGCTGTCCTGTGATTCAAGAGAAGGACTCCGGGATTCCCACTCTACCTTCAATGAAAGCTCTAGACACATTAAAATTTCCTTTGAATTTTTTTTATCTTCACAAAGGTTAAAAACTATCAATCTGGATGAGATCATTTTTATCCAGATATTAGTATATATATTTTTTTATTATTGTGCAGATTAGAATGTACAGAAGCTCCAAAATAGGCAGATATTTTTAAAGAAAAATATACAGTCTGTGGAAGACATGTTGACAATTATTAATTTGCAAGCAATCTGTCAACAAGCTATGACTGGCATACCAAATAAAGCTGGGTATTATTGTAAATAAGTTGTAAAATTATTATTACAATTATTGTAAAATTGTTTCAATAGAACACAGCTATACCCATTAGTTTACAGATTGTTTATCTCTGCTTTTGCCTCACCATAGCAGAGATAAATAGTTTCTACAAAAGATTAGCCAGTAAAATAAAATCGCTTACTATCTAACCCTGCCAAACCTAGAACAAAAGCTGGACAGCGTGCATGGAACAGAATGATTCTAGTTCAACTGGGGACTAAATAGTATTTAGAGATCTCTGGCTAAGTGTTGATTAAGGCAGCCTTTTGTTCTCTTCGCACTCATATGCTGATTAGCATATTTACTTTGTTACCAACAGCAGAAGAGGATATTTCAATCACTGTGCTTGTAATAAAGACCCAGCAACGATAGTGCAATAAGAGTTGCTGACTATTGAGCACTTGCTAAACATTATGCTCAACATTTTATATGCATCACTTTATTTATATAAACTATACCACTCAGGTGCAAATGATTCTATATTATTCCCATTTTCAAGAGGATAAAATGAGGCTTGGATACTTTGGGTAGCGTTGTCAGGTCACATTTAAACCAACACCATCAATGTCAAGAGCCTCAATACTTAATATGAGATTAGAGGGCCAAGGGAATAAATAGTAGAGGATTGTTCATACCCAGCCTTTGAGTGCAGGTAAATTTGTTAGAGGTGACATATTAGCTAACTTATAAGGAAAGAGGAAGAGTTAACCAGAAAAACAGAAGAGAGGATGGGTATATGAAGGCCATAGGCAAACTCTGAACTCCCTGACAATTTTGCAGAGTAATATATAATTTAGTTTGTTTCTGGATGCTCTGAGTAACAAGATTTCATTCATAGGTCATATGAGAAATAATAATACTAAAAATAACAAAAGTTTTCCCACTTATTGAGCACATTCTATACCAGGAATGCTAAAGCTTCACATGTACCATTTGTTTCATCCACACAGTCACTCTATGAGGACTTCCCTGGTGGCCCAGTGGTTAAGATCCACCTGCCAATGCAGGAAACATGAGCTCTATCCCTGGTCTGGGATAATCCTGCATGCCACGAAGCAACTGAGTCCATGTCCCACAGCTACTGAGCCCACGTGCCTAGAACTCATGCTCCAAACAAAGGGAAGCCACCACAATAAGAAGCCCGCGCACCTCAATGAAGAATAGCCCCTACTGGCTGCAAATAGAGAAAGCCCTCCCTTGGCAACGAAGACCCAGCACAGCCAAAAATAAATCAATGAATAAATAAAGTAAAGCTTTTCTAAAAACATAAAGTCTGTTGCTTATTTATATTATATGCAGAGTACATCATGTGAAATGCTGGGCTAGATGAATCACAAGCTGGAATCAAGATTGTTGGGAGAAATATCAACAATCTCAGATATGCAGATGATACCACTGTAATGGCAAAAAGTGAAGAGGATCTAAAGAGCCTCTTGATGAAGGTGAAAGAGGAGAGTAAAAACTGGCTTAAAACTCGAATCAAAAAACTAAGATCATGGCATCCGGTCCTATCAGTTCACAGCAAACAGATGGGGGAAATGTGGAAACAGTGTCAAATTTCATTTTCTTGGGCTCCAAAATCAATGTGAATGGTGACTGCACCCATAAAACTAAAAGAAGCTTGCTCCTCGTAAGAATATCTATGTCAAACCTAGACAGTATTTTAAAAAGCAGAGACATCACTTTGCTGACAAAGGTCCGTCTAGTCAAAGCTATGGTTTTTCCAGTAGTCATGTATGGATGTGAGAGTTGGGCCAGATGCTTTCCAACTGTGGTGCTGGAGAAGATTCTTCAGAGTCCCTTGGGCAACAAGGAGATCAAACCAGTCAACACTAAAGGAAATCAACCCTGAATATTCATTGATTCTGAAGCTGAAGCACCAATAATTTGGCCACCTGATGCAAAGAACTGACTCATTGGAAAAGACCCTAATGCTGAGAAAAATTAAGGGCAAGAGAAGAAGGGAGCGACAGAGGATGAGATGGTTGGATGGCATCACTGACTCAGTGGACATGAGTTTGAGGAAACTCAAGAGAGATAGCGATGGACAAAGAAGCCTGGCATGCTGCAGTTGAAGGGGTCACAAAGAATCTGACATGATTTAGCAACTGAACAACAATTAAAAAAATAACTTTATCAGGCAAATATTATTACTATCCCTATTTTACAGATGTCACAACAGGTAAAAATAAGTTAAATATATTGCCAGAGTTACCTGGTTAGTATCCCTGGTGTTCAGATAGTAAAGAATCTGCCTGCAATTCAGGAGACATAGGTTCGATTCTTGGGTTGAGAAATTCCCATGGAGAAAGGAGTGGCAACCTTTCAGTATCCTTGCCTGGAGAATCCCTGGGACAGAGAAGCCTGGTGGGCTAGAGTCCAAGGGATTGCCAAGAGTCAAACACGACTGACTGACTAACGCTTTCAATTTTCATCTGGTTGGTAAGTGGCAGAGCTAGTTTTCAAAACTTGTCATTCTGAATATAGGTCTTTTAACCACTGCACTGCAGTGCCTTGCATTGGGAAACTCCTTGAGTATGATGCAGTAGCTCTCTGAGGAATGGCAATCTGACAGCAACTCACCCCTACCCAGCTGACTTTTCAAGTACTGAATTCAATTTTCCAAAGGTAAGGACACAATGACTCTAGAGAATGGGTTTAAAGAATCAGCTCTATCTTGGGAGTGTCCTGCTATGGATTAATTTGAGTGCCTACCTCTCTGGCCCTTACCCCCAGTTCATATATTGAAGCCCTAAGCCCCAGTGTGACTGTACCTGGAGACAGTCTTTAGGAAGTAATAAAGGTTAAATGAGGTCAGAAGGAGACTTGCAGATGACCAACATCCTCCCATGGTGGAGGGGGAAATGTCTCTTTCTCTCCTTATAAGACCATAATCCAATCAGACTAGGGCCCACCCTTATGACCTGCAAGACAGACGCAGTCCTGGAAAACAGTTAGGGAGCACTAATTTATAAAATCTGCCCCACCCGACCCGTTCCCCACACCAGCCCCATGAATGGTCTGTACTGGCTGCCAGGTACTTGTTTGAGTTGGAATAAAATACATGCAGGGGTCAAGGCGGGCACTTGTAACCCACAAGCTATTAAAAACTTCCACATGGAGCTGTAGGGCCCTTTGGAACCAGAGAGTGCCTCCTGGCGGCCAAATACTTGAATTTCTAACGAACCCAATGAATGCACTCTGATGGTGTTATCTGAGTCATGGACACAAGGCTCTAGTCTGTTTAGATTTCCCCATGAAATTCTAGTGCAAACTGCTTTGATAGGGTTTCATATAAAAAGCCAATTTACTTTAAAGAGAGAAAAAGAAAGAGCAATGGAGAGATTTTCTGTTTGAGTTGAAGAATATCAAGAAGTCAGTGAGATCAGACTGACTACAAATGACTTTAAAAGCCTCAAATCACCCACAGTGGAGACCAGTCCTTTGAAGTTACAAACAATGTTTGGCAGCACTTAGTAGAGATGCAAATGGGTCCCCGAGGGATACAAGAAACCTTGGCAGAGAACAGTAAAGAGCGTTACAAAAAGTTTCATTCAATGGAAAGAGGATGCTGGCCATGGAATTCTCCAGGTAAGAATATTGGAATGGGTCACTGTTTTCCAGGGCACCTTCCCAACCCAGAAATCAAACCAGTGTCTCCTACATTGCAGGTAGGTTCTTTACCAGCTGAGCTACCAGGGAAGCTTATCTCTAGAGGCAGTCACAATCACTTAAGGGCACCAAAATCTCCACAACTCTGAGTGACTGAGTCTAAAAATAACTTCAAGTCATCTCAGAAGCTTAAAGAGCTATGTCACAGGGGAATAATGGTTTTGATGCAAATGCTCAACTTCAGAAAGCTTGAAGCTTCTGAATGGCAGGAAAGAATTGGAAGCTAAAAGAACAACAACAACAAAATGCTTGAAAACTTCCACACACAATGGGAACTCGTTGTCGTGATAAACAGAGACAGTTAAAATCTCTGATTGAAACTCTCCTGAGGATGAGCGTGCCTCATCTCAACAGAGAAGACTTACACTGATGATGGCAACTTGAAATCAGAGGGAAAATGTGGTTCAGAAAAATGAGACAAGATAGTCAGAAGCGGATTTTAAATTCTTTAAACAGACTTAAAAGAGAAAACAAGTGATAATTTAAAAGTTATCTGAAGACAATCGAATGAAATAAAAGTCTCAAACTCAGAGAGCGTCTTTAGAGTGTGAAAACGCATATTTTGAACATCAAATTCAAAAGCCTCGACTGAGACTTTAAAAACTGTCTAAACTACATCATGAATATGAAACGCAGCATCAACTGAGGAGGGAATTTATAACTTAATATGGAGTAGAACACACAGAGAGGAAGGCAATGTAGAAGATGAAGGCAGAGACAGGAATGTTGCAGACTCCAGGAGCTAGAAAACACAGGAAAAGAACTCTCGCCCAGAGCATCCAGAGTGTGAGTCCCTGCCAGTTGATTTCTAACTTCTGGCTTACAGAACTGTGACAAAATACATTCGTTGGTTAAAAAAACGAGAGAGAGAAGAAGAGAGTACAAACTTCCCAAAGTTTATGAAAACATTACCTTTACATACTGAAAACTTGATACTTGCAGTAACATGGCCGAATGTGGGGAAAGAATCAGAAAGCACCGCTTCTTCCTAGATATAGGATTTTCACCTATGACAAAAAAATTTGAAGTTGCTTGGCAGCTCTGTTGACTGAAAGCTCAAAGAACTAAGAAGATGATCAAAACAGACAAAAATGAGCAGAATCAGAGTTTAGAATCCTGTCTTTGCCGCACCTGGTATTCCACTTGCAGCCCAGGACAGCTGCCAGAGAAGGTCAGGGAATTTCCTGCATCCTCAAGTTGCCAGGGAAGGAGGGGGATATGAGGTCACAAGGGTCCAGGGTGATGTGCAGGTTTGATTCAGTTGCTGAGAGCATCCATATGTACAGCCAAAGACCTGATATGATTTCCTCTCTTTAAAGAAATTTTGATTGACCTTTTTCTAGTGTAGCTGCTGCCCTTTAAATGATGATGCATTTTCTCTTATTAAAGTTTTATATATTATAACTCCTAAAAGAGTAGTTTCAGAATATAGATAGATGAAACTGTAATTCTTATTAAAACATTATTTTCAACTGGACCTCCAAGAATTTGATTGTATAAGTATTGTCTTTTAAATGAATAAATTAGTCCATGAAAACTGCAGCCATAATTGAAGCTTTACCTGACCAGTCAAAGATATTCGAAATATAAAAGTCTATTTCTATATGCTGCCAGTTATATGAAGAAATCAGTACAAATAACCTAATACTTACTTTAATATTATTACTTTAATAATCAGTGACTGGCTTTGAAAATAATGCTGTAGCCGTGTTCTGGGAAACAAACTCACTCAGAAGGATAAGGCAGATAGCAGATAGCAGAGTGCAGTTTATTACACCGGCGGGCCCAAGGCACAGTCTCCTCTTAGCCAAGGACCCCAACCAGCTTTTGTGAAAACCTTATATACCTTAAGTGTACGTGCCCAAACCCACCTCCCCAAATTCTCTGAAACTAGTTTGAACAAAGGAAAAGAAAGATACAATCAAAGTTAACCCATGATTCATATGCCTTAAGCCTAGGTAGTTAACAGTGGCCACTTATCAATAGGCCTGTAATCATACCCCAAAAAGCATAATAGAATTTATGATTCTATTCGGTTACACAGATAGTTAGGGTGGTTTTTAGGGTGTTTTTAGGGTGTTTCTGGGTACGAGCCCTGGGGCTCTTCCATCTCGGGGGTCTGGTTTTCCAGTTGGTACGTCGTTTCCATAGATACTGGGCATATTGCTCAAAGTCCACAGTCCAGCCCAAGATGGAGTCCTGCTTTCAAGACAGAGCCTATTCTGTTCCCTCCTTCAGCAACATGAAAATACCGAAACAACAGTCCCTTGGCAAAATTTACTCTTCTTTCTCTTTAGGAATTTTTCTCATGTTTTGGGTATGCTTAATCGTTTGTCCTGATGCTTGGAAAGACTGAAGGCAAAAGGAGAAGGAGACAGCGGAGGATGAGATGGTTAGATAGCATCACCAACGTAATACACATGGATCTGAGTAAACTCCAGAGGATAGCGGAGGACTGAGGAGCCTGGCATACTACAGTTCATGAGCTCGTAAAGAGTTGGACACAAATGAGCGACTAAACAGCAACAATCTTTTGAAGATTAATTCAATATAATTTAGTTGAGTTTCTTTGATAGCCCCAATTAAACCTACTATTAAGTTTTTATTGGTTTAATAATAATTTTGTAGATTATTTTAGGGTGAGTTAACATTTTTAATGATGTCTCATATCCACAGAAAAACATACATGAATATTTAATAAACTCTTTCATATATTCAGCAGAATTTTCTTCATTCACATGCTGCACATTTAAGACTTGTTTTTCGGCATGTTAACCTACCAATAATTATGAGAATACAACATTTTAAGGTGTTAAGCTTTGTTTCCTGCATTTTTTCCCTTCTTTCTTTCCTTCAGTTAGTCTCTTTGCATAACCTCTGAGAGAATGGGTAAAACAGGAAGACAACAGTTTGTTCCAAGTGTTTCATCTTTTTATTTTGAAAAGCTTAAACCTTGGAGGAGAGAGAGAGAATTTGGAGAGGGAATAAAATACCTTTGGGAGAAAGATGACAGGAACAGTATGTACCCTTTCACCTGTCACCATCTGAATCACAAAGACATATGGGCATGCTCTAGCCAGACTACCCTAGATTTGGAAAAGGGAGAAGAGAGAGACAGGGGCAGAATCTTTAAAGGAGGGGCTATAGGACAGATCTAGGCAGAAAGATCAGGATCAGCCTTGAAGAAAGTTTCCAGTGCCCTGAAAATAGCTATGAAGCAGCAGCAACTTGGGTACGCATGACAAGCAAGGCAAAGTCTATTGCAGAGGATAAGAAGAGGGGCAGAACTCCCCAAATTAACAAAGCCTTGCCACTCTGCGGGGCCCCCAGTGCTGACAATACCAGAGATGTACCACATGAAGCAAGAACTCTTTATCTTCTAAAAATTCCCTGAGTCGAATACACACTCACAATCAAACCCCACACCAAACACATACACATTAGTAATTATCTTGTTATACTGATGATAGGTTTCCTCATTTAGCCCATTTCCTCATTTTGTGGACTTGTTAAAAAGTATGGCATGATACCATATCCTTCACTTTCTCATATTAGGTGAGAAATAAAACATTGACACTTCAGTTGCTGCTCTTTATTTTTGTTGGATTCTGTGAGCTAATCAAAATGCATAGAGCTATGCATATTAGTTAATATCTCAGAATTTGTCATTTATTTGTTCCATGTTTTAATAAATTTGGCATGTATTTCCACAGGTTGATACTTAGGAATGAGGTTATCTGTGGCTTAGAGTTTTCAAATTTTTATGAACTTTTTAATGTCACATATAACACACATACAGAAATGTAAATAAACCAGAGGTACACAGTGTTCTGTGATATACAAGTACAAAGTGATCTCCTGTTACAGCACCTTATACGAGAGAGAGAGTAATAACAGCAAGTGCTCCCTAACCTCCTCACTCCTTACATAGATGGAAAGCTTAACCACAAATAAGGTTTGGGTTGATGGGTCTAAAACACCAATATGATGACTGCTTCCAATTTTTTCTTTCTCCTTTCAAAATAACATAATTTCCATACACTAAATGTGCCCTTTGTGTATGGTTTTGAGAGTTTTCATGAACATAATCAGTGTGCACCTACCTCTATAAGGAAAGTATACAGTATATATCTCATCCCAAAATGTATTAATATCTCTTCATTCATTTGGAATCAACAAATATCCCATTGCCAGCTCCTGGAATCTACTTACTTGTTCCCTGAGCAGACATATTGCCTTGCAATAATATCATATAAATGGAATCATACAGTATATAGCCACTTAAGTCTGTCTACTTTCACATAGCATTATGTAACTGAGAGTAATCCTTAGAAAAATGCCATATTTGCTTTACAGTTCCAGTGCTGCCTGTTCAGCAACATTTTTTCCAAACACAGCTTGCCAGGGCCACTTACTTACAAGAAATAAATCACTTTTAATGTTAGGGAGAGACATATAAAGTTTATTAAAATACAGCTTGACAATCACTATGCAAGTATAAATGAAGATTAATGGTGGCAACAATGAGGGAGCATAGACAGCTATGCATGAGACACTCTGGAGGTGGCTCACTTTTCTTGGCATGAAATTTACAACTCCTTTATCACTGGGTTTATTTTAGTTGAATCATGAAGGTGATCTTTCCAGTAAGAAATAAGGGGGAAGTAGTTGAGGCAAAGGAAACAGCCAGAACAAGGGTATGGTCATAGAAAATCACATGGCACATTTTGATGTCACAGTGCAATATGTGTGATTGCAGAAAAGGACGTGCATCTATCTCAATTTCCTAGTTCAAATACAAGACCCCACTTTCATATGATATTCTGCCATCTAGATATAATACCACTGAGTTGTGTCATGCTAAGCAAGTGTAACTGGAGTGGATTATACTGTGACTTGAAAAAATGCTAGACAAATTTTTGAGAATATGATTAATTAGTGAGCATTTTTGTTGATCAAGGAGGTAATTAGAGCCAAATGGCAGTGATTGTATATCAACTTGGGCTTTTATCATTTTTGTTTTTTAAATATTTGAGGGGCAAAAAATGAAAGGACAAAGCAGCTATTTTTAAGCAGGTTATTAGGTGCCCTTGTGTATCAATGCCAGGCCTCTCAGCAGGGGGTGCAGAAGTTACTGGGTCTTCTGAGACCAATAATGAAGCTTATTTTTAACTCCCTCATGAACCTACTGAATAACAATGTCCATTCAGATCCTTGACATGCTTTTCCTCATCAGCATAATTCATACTTTTACTGGATTAAATTTAATGAAGCAAGAACTTTTTGAGTGTCATCAATGTCTCAGTTACTGAGCCATCATCTGCAAATAACACATTGATCCAGACAATCTTTACTTCAAGGACCTCACAATTTGCTGGGGTTGGCATATAGGGAAGTGGGAAACTTTCATGAAATGGGTAAAAGTCCATTGACAGATGAATGGCTAAAGAAGATGTAATATATATATATATATGTATATACATATATATGTGTGTGTGTGAAATTTATGGAAGATAAATTAGGAGTTTTGGATTAACATATATATACTATTATATATAAAGCAGGTAAACAACAAGGATCTACAATATAGCACTGAGAACTATACTCAATATCTTCTAATAATCAAGAAGAGAAAAGAATATTCAGGTGTATATTTATGTATATAACTGAATCACTTTGCTGTACATTTGAAACTAACACATTGCAAATTAACTATATAACAATTTTAAAAAATGGTTACTAAAAAAAGAGCTGTAAGAATGTTTAGTACTTGGAACTATGGGGATCGCTGACATGTTAAGAAAACACTGGAAAAATCAAACCTGAGTAGGTAATAAACAGGTAAAAGATAAGCAACAAAGAGCCTTAAGGCCAGGGATATGAAAGAAATGGGGACTTCCTTGGTGGTCCAGTGATTTAGACTCTATATATCCAGTGCAAGGGGCTCTGGTTCATCCCTCCTGGGGAACTGAGATCCCGCATGCTGCATGAGGCAACCCAAAAGTGGGAAAATTAAAAAAAAAAAAAACAAGAAAAGAATAAGAGCCTGACCTATCAGAGGATTGTGATCTGCTTCCTAGGAGCAGAGGTGTGCATTCTGGTTGAAGAAGAGGATAAGGACAGGGGCCCACTCTGAAGACTTTGTAGCTTATATTTTGAGCTACAAAATTTGCATGAGGCCTCAAGCAAAAGATGGTGGGGATGAACTGACAGATTTAAATAGACATGTGGGTAAAAATGAAAACAAAAAAGAAGTTGT